TGAGGAGCTTTACCCTCCCAGTGGGAAAGACATGTTGCTGGATTGGCAGGACTTTCTCTGAGGATTAATAGAATTTGTTCTGATGACAAGCTGGTCACAATAATTATTCCCACCTCTTTGTAGCTTTTCAATTGCCATTACCCTCCTGTGGCAGCTTATGGAGAAAAGTTGGCATAAAAAGTAAGGGTACTGATTATTATAACTAGATAAATATAGGGATAACAATTTTATTCAATTAAAGGCCTTGGCAAAGTGGCCTAAAATGAATCACAAAGAGAATAAACATACAAAACCATCTTATACAAATATCTGAATTTGCATTCAGAAAAATGGAACCGGGTCATTTTGGACAAATCCGAACTCTCCAGAGGCAAAGTAAGAGTCAGTGTCCATGAAAGTAATTACAGGAGGTGATGACAACTCTAAATGGCAAGCAAAAAAATCTGAAATTTTGTGTTCTAATTTGCATCTTCTTCTTAAGTCTGATGTCATTTCAGTTGGAAAAGGCAGTATCATTAGAAGGCAAGGACTTGGCCCATTTTTTCCAATATCATATCCCTAGTATCTGACATTATTCCTGGATTCAAAGAGGCTCATAAAACCTCTTTGAATGAATATATGAATTATGTGATAGTAGAGTAAATGATGGCAGATGAATATAAGTAATAAATAACAGAGCTGTTATAAATTCCCTTGAAAGGGATGCCTGATTGTTTCAACCGGTCAAGCCTCTTGCCTTCGGGTCAGATCGTGATCTCAGGATCCTGGGATCGAGTCTCACGTCAGGCTTCCTGCTCAGTAGGGCATCTGCTTCTCCCTCTCTCTTTGCCCATTCTCCTAACCCACTCATGATCTCTCTCTCCCAAATAAATAAATAATTTTTAAAAACACCTTTGAAAATCCTAGAATAAAAGAGGGGATATCATGAAATTAACCCTAGAAATTACATAATTGGGTGTCATTTTTCTAATGATTCAGTTTTAATTTAAAAAATTAAAATATAGGGACGCCTGGGTGGCTCAGTGGTTGAGCGTCTGCCTTTGGCTCAGGGCGTGATCCCGGGGTCCTGGGATGGAGTCCCACATCGGGCTCCCTATGAGGAGTCTGCTTCTCTCTCTGCCTATGTCTCTGCCTCTCTCTCTGTGTTTCTCATGAATAAATATAATCTTTTAAAAAAATTAAAATATAGTCACAACACAAAAACACATGACTAGATACATCTTTTATTTTAGTTGCAGAAAATGAAAGTGATAATTGATTTTTTCACATCTGTACACCTGAGTCTTCTTCCTCTTCTTAGTTCTCTTCATTTCCCCTTGCTCACATTCTAGTTTAGTTTACTTGCATTTCCTTTTTTTCTTTCATTTCATTCTTTTTTTTTTCTCTCCCTCCTTCCCATTCATATTCCATCTCTCTCCATTTAATTCTGTACTGCATCAAAAGATGTCCCTGGACAAGAATGCATCCCAGTTTACTCACTCTTCCCCCAAATGACCATGACTTCTAAACTTTCATCATGCTGCCTCCTGGCCTGGCATCCTTTCTGCCATTCTGCTTTTCTCTTCCTGGTCATTCCTACTCACACTAGAGGCCACACCAAAAGTATTTGCTCTAACCAATTTTTGCCAATCTCAAAAGATAATTGATTATTCCCTTTCTTTGAGATTTTGCCATATAGTAAAATCCTCTATACTAGTACCCACCATGTGTCATTAACATTTACTCCTATGTTTCCTTTCATCTTGTAATTTCCTAAGTGTAATGGTTATGACACGTTCACTTTCTATAATATGCTCATCCTAGTTTGGGGCACATAGTAGGTGCTCAGTATTTGAATGGATGAATGAAAACATTAGAGTATTGAAAGAATTAAGATTTGGTCGATGTATACGCTTTATATTAATATTTACTTACTCAAAATCCAAAAGTCATTCCGTTTTTTGTAACATTAAACAAAAATTAAAATTTGAATGCATTTAAATCCTAAAGAAATACAAGAATAATTGCTAAAATTCAATTGAGACAAATCCAAAGATGACATCTCTTCATATTTTTTTATTTGTGCAACTTGTTCATGAATATATATAATATATATTTAACTAAGATCTACATATGAAAGAATTTATAGAAACTGAAATAATGCTTCATGTTATTAACTGTGAATATTTGTGTGTAATGTGACCGATTAACTCGAATCTTGACTAGAATTTATTTCACTACATAGCATTATCCTCTTCCTATTCATGTCATCCTCTCTTGTATTTTCTGGACCCATTTCATTCAGTGCCAGTGCATCTGATTGGACTGTAAAACATGAAATGTGTAGCTTCAAAACACAGCTGGAGCCAATGCCATTCTTTAGCCAGCTGGCATCACCCATTGCTGTAGAAAGCAGCTGACTTCTGTTTTGATAGAGTAAGCATTCCAACGTGTGCTGCTTGTAATTCACTCACCATCCAACAAACAAATTAGTCTAGAAAAGAAATATATCAACCATTGAGAGGAAGGAGATTGATTGATAAATGGGCTATCACTCCCCCTTGCTCACAGTATATAGCATACTTTTAACGCTTTTAGCAAAGAAGTTTACACTACTTACAGTATTTTCATCCCCAAAGCAAGATAGCAGTATGAAAAAAAACACTTGAAATTTTCTAGAACTCAAGAAAGAAGGTTGAAAAAAAAACCCAGAAAATCCTCTTTACCTGTCTATGAATCTGTGTCTAGCTAGCTAGCTGTCTGTACATCTATCTGTGCATCTATCTCTCCATCTGTCCCTACATTCATCTCTCTATCCATCAATTCATCTACTTGTTCACTTATCCAGCTAAGCCTTTCTCTTCCTCTCTCATCTATCTTCTATCTATCTATCTATCTATCTATCTATCTATCTATCTATCATCTATCTATCTAATTAATCTGTAAAATATATAATCATAGCTGTATCTGTTCATTTATCCACCCAACTCTCCTCCATATATCCATGTATCAGTCTCTTTATATTATATCTCCATCTATCCAACTATCCATCTACCTTGCCATCCATTTATACATTTATTTACCTATGTATCTATCTGTCATCTCATGCTCTCCCCCCATGATATCAGGGATAGGCTTCCATTCAACCTTTGTGTAAATTTATCCAGGAACAAAAAACTCACCATTTTACCTGGTAGCCTATTCCCTAATTGTCCACATTTAGTTACTTAGAAGGTTAACTGCATTTTTATGATTTCCATTCATTAGTTATGGAGTCTTTTTCAAAATGAATCTACTACCCCCTTCCATCTGAAAAAATCTCTAGATTTACAAAGAGAGTTAATCTTTTTATCCAACTTTTTGTTCACTACCAAAAATAAATCTCCCTTTTCAATGGTTGTGCTTTTCTACTATTGTGCTATAGTACTTCTTTACCTCACATGCCCGAAGTTCATCACTGTCCCTTTTATCTAAATAGATTTATGTGCCAGATTTAGAAACAAAGAAATCTCAGAATTGTAGCTTATGGTGCAGTCATTCCTTAAATATTGAGACCAATCTGATTGACAAGCATGAAAATGTTCCTTTACATATTATATTGTTGGGTTTTTTTTTTTCTGCTTAATGCACTATTACAATCTTAGCAGCTTAAAATAGCACACATTCATCATCTCAATGTTTCTATGAGTCAGGAATCTAAGCATCATAGCTTAGCTGGGCCCTCTGCTCCAGATATTACAAGGCTGCAATGTGTGTCATTGAACTGTGTTCTCATCTGGAGGCTCAACTGGGAAGAATCTACTTCCAAGCTGACCCAGGTTGTTGGCAGAGTTCAGTTCCATGTGTCTGCAGAAATTCTGTGGCTTCGTGCTGGCTCATAGCTAGAGGCTTCCCTCAGGTCCTTGAAGCTTCCATCAACAACTCACTATGTGAAAGTCCTAACATAGGTCCTTACTTCTTCAAAACCAGCAAAGGCGAAATCTCTAGAGTAAGTCTGCTGGCAAGATGAAGTCTTACATGTAACATAATCATGGGAGTCATGCCTCATCCCTTGGGCCATATTCTGTTGGTTGGAAACAAGTCACAGGTACCACCCACATTTAAAGAAAGAAGATTAAAATAACCGTATGATTTACTAGGAGGCAGAGATCACAGGGGCTCCCTTTGAGTCTTTTGCTGAACATGTAATGAATCAAAATAACATCAAATGATATAGGATGTGAGTACATGATGGTGGTTTCTTTGTCATGTTTCATCGAACTGAGAAAACAAAAGTGTCATGAGGTGTTTTCATTTTCTTGGGAGTAGGGGCCGAGTCCTGAGATGTGGTTGACTGAGTGAATTGCCTCTGTACTTCAGTCTTCTCTGTGGTCTGCCCTTTTCCGCACACGTGAGCAGAGCCTGTTCACTGTGAGCACTGCTTACCTTGCTATTTGAATCTAAGTCCAGAAGTGGTACTTGTTACGTTAGTTTTATAGGGCTGTCATAACAAGTTGCCACAAACTTGGTGGTTTAGCGCAACAGAAATATATTCTCTCTGGTTCTGTACAGCAGAAGTCCAAAACCAGGGTTATCATCAGGTTAACTGCTTTCAAAGCCTCCAGGGGAAAAAAAAAAACAAAACAAAACAAACAAACAAAAAAAAACAAAGCCTCCAGGGAAGAACGCTTCCTTCCCTCTTCCAAGGGGTAATGGCTTCAAGCATTTCAGTCTCTGCCTTTATCTTCAGATGGTTCCTCCCTCTGCATCTGTGTCTGCCCCTCTTCTCTCTAAGTACTCCTGTCTCTGGATTTAGGGCCCCCCAGCCACAGTTATCCAGGATAATCTCATCTTGAGTTCCTTCAACAGTTAGATCTGCAAGACCTTTTTACTGAATAAACCTACTCTCACAGGTTCTGAAATGTGGACGTCTGTTTTTAGCAACCACTAGTCAACCTACTACATCTGCTTTGGCTAATGACAGGCTTAGCAGATGTGATGTGAACTAGCGCTTTGATGGGGCTTTCTCTTTCTCTCTTTCTAGTAGTATGGAACACTTCAAGAATTTGCATGTCATCCTTGCACAGGAGCCACACTAATCTTCTCCGTATTGTTCCAATTTTAGCATATGTGTTACTGAAGTGAGCACGCAGGCTCCCTCTCATGCACTTCCTCTTGTACACATCTCCATGAAAAGTATGTACTTGAGCTAGGTACCTGGTCACAGGAGCAGGGAAACATGTCGATGTTCGAAGATGGGGCATCCCAGCCAAATCCAGACTATCACTGAACCCTAAGCTTCTTTGTAGATGCTAGATAGAGTCCAACTAAACTAAACACAGCAACCCAAACAGGCCCTATCAAGATCATCTAAACTCCACAAGCTTATGCAAGAAATAAATATTTACCATTGTATGCCACTGTAGTCCTGTGGTTGCTCCTTAGGCAACAACTAATTAACTATGTGTGAATATGTATTTTTAATCCCTTTAATTCTTCAGGACACATTCTATGGTATATATTCCTACCATCTTCCCTTACTTCAGAAATAAAAGTTTCCACTTCTGACTCATGTATTTTCTCTGAGCAAAACCTGCTCCCAGAAAAGCATCTGCAGCAATTAATGCATGCTAATATGAAAATTTAAGTCATTTAAACTTGTCTCAGGGTTATTTAATTTGCCATTAATAAGGTAAAGGCTATGAGATGGGTACTATTGCCAGCCAGTCTCAACCCACAAGAACGCTGAGACACAGATGCTTGAGTTAAGTGGCCCAGAGTCACACAGTTAATAAGCAGTGCAGCTTTGTACAATCCAAACTAAGTTCCAGAGATGCTGTACTTACCCTAAAATCTCATATCCATGAAGACAGAATAAGACAGCACTCCTCTACTCAAGAGTATCAAACATTAATGGACAGAAGGCAGATGGAGGAAGGCCATTTTAAGAAGGGTTCCTGAAGTATAGATTTTGAAAATACTTTTCTCAGACTTTGGGGAAATCTAGGGGGCCTATATTTCTGCTATGGTACTTATCTCTATCCAGCCCAACCCTACTAGTACTAATGCAAGAATGTACCTTTTATTATTAGCCACATGCCCCATGAGAGCCCACTGAATATTTGTGGAATTCAAAACCCTTTTTAAAAATTCATAATCTATTTTATGTTCCCTAAGCACTCAATCATATATTAGTTTTGATTTTCCCCTCAGAGGCTTGTTGGTGTGGTGTAAATATTGCCTGGTCTAGCCTTATAGAGTGTGTATGTCCTATGTTCCCTCCATTTATTGATTTTTCCATTTGCTTACATTCACAATGCATATTAATACAAATCTAACACTAATGTGCAATCCACATTCTTTGAAATACATGTAGCATAGAATTTTAATAAAGAGATTAAAATTTTAATATTCAAATATGCATTATATATGTCAGCAAAGTATAAAGCAATTTTAATGTGTTAGGACAAAATGATTATGCAATGTAAAGATAAAAGGAGAGATGTTGGACATGGAGCTAATTGTTTTTCAATATTGGCTACAGTATTTCCTTGGTGTTGGACCTTGAGATTGTTACTTAGCTCTTTTAACTGCATTTTTCTTTTCTGTATACATGTAATAACTCACGTTAATGGTGATGAATGTAAATTATTTTAATCACCTGAAAAAAACAAGATAATAAAATTTCTTTCATATCCTTTACCTCTTTCTCCTCCAAAAATCTCTGCCATATTTACTGTTGATCTCTTTGTGCCTGGGAAACAATGTTTCTTCTACTTACTGTCTTCCTTATAAAATGGAAATAAATTTAATAGCTACTAATATTAGTATTATCTTTATGATCCTAGATGTGGAGACATAGACAATATCATTCACGTTCTAAGCTAGTTCTCACGTCTTACTTTTGAAGGCTTTATCTAAAGTAGGGTAGTCTTTAGTTTCACATCTATTTTATTTTTGTGTATGTGTGATTACCTTATGAAATTTAAAGGATTTTTTTTATTTTAAAAATTATTAGGGTAGGATGTACTATATAGTGAGGATTTTGTTAGGAAATAAAATTATATTTCTGTATTTTTAATTAACAGTTCTCAAAGCTTTTTTTCCCTAAGGACCTCCTTCACATATTTAAAAAATAAACATGTATTTTAAAAATTCACCTACTCCACATACTTTAAAAAGTTGAGGAACCTGAAAAGCTTTTGTTTATGTGAATTAAGAACATTACATCATTTTACACTTTTACAAATAGTATTAATGTCTTACTTAATTGAAGACAGCCGGATTTCCATATATGTTTCTGTATTCATTCTATTGCAGTATTATGTTTTGGTTGAAATACTTTTTTAAAACAATCCGGACTTGTATGCATTAGCCTTTTGAGTAAAAACTCCAGACTCGCATAAAACAAGTCATTTCCATCACTTTATATTCATCTTCTTTTCTGGAGGCATTTTGGCTTGACTGTTTTTTTACTTCAAGGATAACAAATCTTTATTTCCATAGGTCCACTTGTTTCTGGCCTTTTTATTGACTCGCTTTCCTTTGCTGCCACCTGTATAGCAGCAATCTAATTTCCCCTTGGTAATCAAGACCGTATGGACTGAATGTTTGAAGCCCATTTAAATGGTTGAAGAAACTAGAGCTCTCTATGTCATGTGAGCAAACAGCAAGAAGGCAGCTGTCTGTACAAGGGAAGAGATAAAAACAAAAACCAGTCTTACTGGCACTCTGATATCAGAACTCCCAGCCTCCAGAACTGTGAGAAATAAATGTCATTTAAACTACCCAGTCTTGGGTAGCCTGGGTGGCTCAGCGGTTTAGTGCCTGCCTTCAGCCCAGGGCATGATCCTGGAGACCCGGGATCGAGTCCCACATCAGGCTCCCTGCATGGAGCCTGCTTCTCCCTCTGCCTGTGTCTCTGCCTCTCTCTCTCTGTGCATCTCTCATGAATAAATAAATAAAGTCTTTAGAAAAAAATAAAAAATAATCCACCCAGTCTCTGGCATTTTGTTATAGCAGCCCAAGCTGACTAAGACAAAAATCAAACACTCTAGCCAGAAAAGTTAACTTCTATATTTACATTTTTGATCCCTGTGTGTTTCCAGTGGACAGTTTCAGAAATCAGTTTAATAAAATTAGAGATGTATTACCTAGTGGAAGCTCTTCTCCCTTGGAAAGAAGAAACTTCCAAACTCATTAAATCATGGTGGAGGAAGGAAAGGCAAAAACAAAAGCATAAATATGAACAGGTTATTATGTATAATTGCAGCCATTCCTACCTTCATTTCTTGGTAGCCATTCGCCTCAATTCTAAGGAAAAAGTGCCATGTATTGGTTGTTAGCTTAAGATATATACCTTCTGTTGGTTAACAGTCTAACCTCTCAAAATGTCTCCCAGCTGGTGTCATAACTGAGCTTTCAGTAGTCCATTTTACTCCTCTATCAGATAAGCTGCTATTGTGTGTGAGGTACATAGTAAGACCATTTGCATAGGTATGGATCCATTTCCTGAGTAATAGGGGGAAGTGAATTCCCTTGTCAGAGGTAGTGTTAGATAGGGTTAGCACGGTAATGAATGACACAATCGCTATATTTATGAAAGATGACAGGAGCAGGAATGCTTAAATCATGGAAAGAAAAACCATATTAAATGAGTTATGCTGAAGAGGATGAATACCTGCCTCTTCAGTGAAGAAAGGGGTAAATTGTAATCATTTCTTGCCAAGTGGTTAGCAGCTCTATCTGGGAGTGGTGCAAAATCAGGAGCTCAGTATTGTTTTCTGCTATTTGCAAGTTCGGTACTTAGCAAGGGTGGCTAGGCGGACCAGTTTTGGTTAGGCGGAAATACATAATGATGAGATCTTACCTTTTAAACCTATTGTTTTGGCTTCTTTGTATGTGGGTTCATTGAACACCAGAGTAGATGGATAAAAAATTGGTCTACAGGGGATTGTTCATCTTGTTTGACCAATTATTTGGAGTGGAAAACCTCTTCTGTTGCCTCTTCCAAGAAGTCCATCTACATACTTTTTTCCAGACCTCATTGTTCCTAATCTAACTTTATTCTAAATAAGGCACTGAGTGGCTACGCAAATCTATCAACTCCTTCTTATAAGGTGGTGCAAATCCATTCCTTATACCATCTTTTCTTCCGAAATGAAAAAAAAAAAGATGTCTTGTGTTTAATTTTTATCTTCTGAGAAAATTTTGCTTCACTACTGTCATTCAGTATATACCATGTAGAAGCAACTGTAATGTCATCCTTTGTCCTTCTACTGTTACAAGAAAGCTTTTAAGTGTTGATTTAAAAGGAAATTGCAAAATATCAGAACTAATTACTGTATTAGTCTGAGGTACCTACTTATGAATCTTCATCCTGTCTTTTTTACCTTCCTGAGCCTGGTGTCACATACACCATTTCATTTTACTAATAAAATGCTGTGGCACAAGCACAATGTCATGATTTGATGTATCATTATACCACCTAATGTGTGATGGGCAGTGTAAATATCAACGTACTTGGTGTCCTAGATTAAGCCTTGAATTTCTACCACAGGAGTTATAGGTCCTGATATGCTTCCAGATAAAGATAATTATTGGCAGAAAAGGACATGGCTTTGCTCCAACAGTCTACAAATATGTACCCTGATTTTCCCAGTGGGGCTTCAGAGAACATCCTTACCTGCCATGGATTCTTGAAGTAGCTTTTCGTCTGGTATAAGTACAAGGACACAACAGCTTGAATCCCAGACTGGACCTGCTGCAGAGCCTTTCCTTCTTCATCTTTATTCAAAATTAGCATCCTCGTGTTTTCCCTGACAAGTCAGAGAGTTCATCTAAATATGTTGTATGTTACATGCAAAATCTAGACACCCTTCAAACTTCTGTATTTGCGTTGGTTAGAGCAAAGTGGAGCAATTTGTCTTTTACTTTGGAAGGGATGAACTTAGAGACCACTGGACCCAGAGAATTTAACAACACTGCTTTCTTTTAAACGTTTATGTATTAATTTCCCATCCTCCAGAATGTGTGTATCTTATTTAGACATCCAGGGTACTTGCTTCTCCTTCCTACAGGGGTATCAAGGTAACTGAGATCTCCGCAACTTCTATTAAGACAAAGTGCAGGAGATTTGACACAGCTTTA